CTGCAAAAATTAACTGGGGACTCTGGGTGTGACAGCAGCATCTCCTGGGTCGTGCAGATGACTTTGGGCATTATGGGGCAGGATTCCTTGCAAGAGACAAGTCAGCACAAACGTCGAGTGTTTGCAGTGAAGGGGTGGCTTAAGTCAGGTATGAAGCAAGCCTGGGGGTAGGAAGAGGGGAAAGCATCTCCAGGTAGCTAAAATCCTGTAGCAAATGGCAGGCCTGCTTGGTTGGGCTGGTTGTGGCACAGAGGGGGCTGTAGCAACCTGTTATAGGGCACTGGATTCATGTGGTGGTGCTTTCTTTTTATCTGGAGTTGACCTTGCTATAAACAAAGCAATGGTGGGCAAGGTGTGGGATTGCCTCCCACAAAAGATACAATGTCCTATAATTCTAGTTTTATAGAAAAGGAAAGTAGAGCACAGACTGATTAAATTACTGTGGCAAATCAGTTAGTGGAAAATTGTAGCAGCAGAAAGGGTGTGTTTCAGAACTCATGTCTTCTGTCTGTGGTCAATGGGAAATACAATTCTGCAGTCCTAAAAATGAATTTTCTTGGCAGTGCTTGGCATCAGGCTCTCAGTAATATTTTCTAAAAGAAGTTTGAAGATTACCAGTCTTTGTTACAGCGATGTACCAGTAAGTCTGGCTCCTGCAAACTTAGTGTAAAGCATTATTAGTGAAGCAGTAATAAGCAATCGCAAAGATTAACTCCAGAGCAGAATGTTAAAAGGAGAGCAATTTCCTAATCAGAAGATATGTTGCTGCTTAGTATCTTCAGAGGTGGATTCCTGGATGGATTGCGCTTACATGCAAAGTTACATCTCTTGTACAAATTCCTGGCATTCACAGATAGTTCTGCCCTTAGGGTGTTTTCCCACTGTTATGAGCACACCATTATACTTCTTAGGCCTCCACTGATACATGGCATGCTTTGGGCTAGAATTATCCTGCTTTGTTATGGGCCTGCTGCCAAAAGGGTATTTCTATGATATTGCAATACATAAATTTTTTTTTCTAGCCCTTGTATTGAGCTACATTTCTTTCCAAAGTGATATCAACCCTCAGCAAACTAATGGATGCAAAAGTACTTGTTAGATCAAAAATTAGGGTTTCATTTTTGATTGATGTGATGAATCACTACAAGTTTCATGCTTCCCTTTCTGAGACCATTGTAACTAATCTTTCACTGCCACCAAGTAGTAAAAGTCTTCTTGAGACGGTCACACTTTCATGACAGTATTTAATCTTTCTTTCTCCCTCCACTCTTCCCCCCCCCCCCTTAAAGGGATATTTTCCTTCAGGTAGCAATCTGAACTGCAAGCTCCCTATAGTAATTTTTCTCACTATTTTTATTGTACCCCACCCCAAGGGGTCCTGTGTTAGGATGGAGCTTCAAAGGTGTTACAAGAGTACAGGTAAGTAATGGTGTAATAAAAGCTGATAGGAATATATGGGAGAGAAGTCAGGCAATGAGGACCAGAGTGAAGGGAAGGGCCTTAACCAGTGGCCAGAGCCTGGGCTGGGCTGCAGCAGGTGACTTTGTTCTGCTGGTTGCAGCTGGAGCATGAGGATAGAAGGACTCTGGTTAGAACTCTCTGAATGAAGGAAATGCTGTCTTGAAAAAAAAAAAAAAAATCTGAAAATCTTATTCCCATCACTATTATGGCTTTTGTGCCCAATTTTATGCGTGCAGTCTGGAGGGTGGCCACAACACCCTCTTCAGCAGCCAGGAGCTGCCGACCTTATATCTAGCCTGTGTTTAAGCGGGAACATGGACTGCCCTTCCCTCCACCCTGCAAGCAAAAGGCAGCCACTTTGCCTCATTTTTGCTGGGTTGGTAGGGAGACCTGGAGCACATCTTAAAAAAAGTTATTCTTCCCTGTGTTCATCCCCTTCTCTCATCTTTAGTCAGTTGCCTTTTATTGCCTCCTTATTTCCTGTCGGCATTGATGCTGAATGTTAATTATCTTGGTTGAGTCTATTTCAAAGTTATCACAAATTTTATGGGCTTTAGGTTTATTTTCCATGTCTGTTGCTTTCCTGCAGAGGACTCTAGCTCCCTGAGCTTTTCCTCCTGGTCTTTAGGATTAGGATGGTTGACAGCCCTGAAACATGGAGATTTATATTTCTCTTATTACTTTTTGATCTGGGAGGCTCCTGGGATTTGGGCAGATCTGAGGGGTGTGAATGCCTGCATGAGCAGCTCAGACCAAGGGGAGGCGTGATTTTTCATGCCTGCTCCCTCACCCAAGCTCCGATTTGGAGACTCCAGGGATGTTGTCTTGGCAGGATATGGCTGGTCACTCTCTGCGGAGGTCAGTCCTCCTCCCCTCCTCGCCCAAGAACACAATAGCAGATGCTCCTAGGGCTGTTTCCCCTGGTGACGTGTTTGGATGTCCGTGAGTAAGGGAGCATTGACATATGGTGGATGATCCCCATCCTCTCGATAGCTGGTGGGGAGATGAGTAGGAGCAGCAGCGGGAGGTAAATCTCTCCGGCCTCTGTGAGAATTGCTGCTGTACACATGTGGGGACACCCCAGAGAGCAGTGTGCTGTGGGTGTTGGGCAAGGGGACAACTGGATAGCTGCATAACCACTACAGAATTGAAAATGTGCTTGGGGAAGAGGCTCAGGGTTTGGCAGAGTGTGTTAGGGCAGTTAGGGCAAGGAAATACTCGGTTCATGACAAAGGTATCAAGACTCTAACAATTTCTCGTTTGGGGTGAATGGATAATATCTGACAGCCATTGGTGTGTATGTGAAAGTCACTGTCGGAGGCAGGAGGACATGGAGTGCCATGGCTGTGTTGGCACATCGTGCTTTGCAGTAAGAGCAAATCTGTGAAGCCAAACAGAGCTGGGGCACTGGTGTTTGCACTCCAGGCGTCTGGGGGTGTTTTGGGGGCAAACAGGGTTTTATCCTTATACTGCTGCGTATGCCATGCATCAAGGTGGTGTGTATGAAGATGTTTAAATGCATGTGAGCATGTACCTGAAATGTTTTTCAATACCAGTCTGTCTAGTGAGATGGGCTGGTCTAGGACTGTGCAGAACCCACTCTTTCTTATGAAGGACTATGGCTCAGGAGTGAGTGAAGGACTGACAGGGATAAAATCGGTGTCTGAGCCCCTGTAAGTCTGGGAATAGAAAATTAAGTTGGTTAGCTTCTTGTCTGCCATCTGCTTGTGAAGTATTTGCACTAAAACAGCCCTAAATTGTGTTTTATCAAAGGTGCTCAGTTTACTTGCCAGAGGAACCTCAGAAAAACTCATTGGTACCTGGAGTTCTCCTGCAAGGTCACACCTTGTACTAATAAACCACAGTAGAAATACAACGCAAGTCCATGTGCAGAAACCGCTCAATCTAAGATGTTCAAAGATCTTCTTTTCCCCTGCCGTACCACCCTTTCCCCTTCTTTTAATATCAGGACTTTTTCTCCGTTCCTTGGCAGTGCATTTTCCCATGTCTCCTTGCATATTTGCAGAACATGCAGCTGATGGCACTCCAGATGCGTTGCACCTTACAGAAGGTTAACCAACACATGTACGTGGGACAACCCCTAAAGAGACTTGCCTGTGGGGACAAAACCCCTTGAATCCCTCCTCCCTTCATTGCCCCCTGAACTATGGGATGGTGCTGGTGTTCTGCCATCTCTCACTGCATGCCTTCTTTATCTCCTACAATGGCAGAACAGGTGCTTCTTTAAAAAATAAACCCCAAGAAGACTTTCAGTCAGACACAAACTTTTTGAGATTTAGCACAGGTCTGCTTAATGTTTATTTACATCATCTTCATAAACTTAATTAGCTATATATGCTCCTCCACTGAAGCTTTAGGAATTTCAGGTCATCCAGTGCCTCTTTTTGGTGGCTAAATACAGATATTTGTCTTCTCTAGAATTCTCTCTATAGCATCTTTCATGAACAATAGAATTTCTTAAGAGTCATTGTCTGCATTTTAAAATAGGGGATGTCAAGAGGGGACACATACAACAGGCTGCGTTGGAACTAAGAATAAAGCCAACAATCCATCTATCTTAGCACTTTCCTGGGTGGGTTGGTTGGTTGGGTTGTGGTGTGGGGTTTTTTTTTTTGTTTGTTTTGTTTCATTTTTTTTAAAAAATTATTTCTTTCCAACAGTTCTGGTATCTCTTGAATAAAAATTTATCAGGTTGCTGAGTTGAGTCATGAGGGGAGTATTAGAAAACTTATGTTCTTGAAAATTTTTGAGCTTTAAGAATGCAGCACATGAGAAGAACACCAGGCAAATATTAAGGTCTTGCAATGTAAATTCTGCCTCTCATAGTTTTCCTCTAATGTACTGAGCACAGAAGCCAGGGTTTGAATCAGTGTTATGATTTGCTACTGGCATTAAGTATCACTTCATGCCAGTTAGTTATCTTATATTTTTATCATTAAATTTGTCTTCCAAAGTACATTCAAAATATTTACCAAGCTAAAAAAGCATAACTGTAACCATGTATAGCTGTATTGGTTATTACCTTTTTGTTATGTTTAGTTTTAGTAATTAATAGGAAATCATTGAACAAGAAGAGGTAGACGTCAAGGAGTCTTGTGCTTTCTGAAGAGAAAACCAAAAAAAATTAATTTGATAGTGTATTCATTTTAAGGAATCAGTACTTCTAAGATGAGGCACATCTATGAATCACCACACTTTACAAAATGCTTTTAACAAAGAAGCATGGTTTCCAGCATAGCACACAGCTATTAATCTCCTAGCCTGCACTCTCAAATGCAGCACTTAGAAAACTGTATGTCTCTCAATAATTTTGGCTACTGATACTTTTACCTTGTAGCAGCTACCTCATTATGAAAAAACAATCACTTCACTGACAGCAAAAGTGACCTGAATCTCCTGGAGTACCTACTAATACAACCATTGGCATGCTGTAAGTTAGCAAATCCTACCTGGTAAACAGTGAAGCTTCTTAAAATGGCAGAGAGAAAGAAATATGGAAGTGTCACCTTTTCCTGGCACCTTTAAATACTGGTGTGCTGCCCTCTTCACAGGCTTTTGCAGTGATGAAATGTTAATTGACAGCATCACAAAAGCCTTTTTAAAAACTACACAAAAAACCATAATGTTGGCTTATCTTTTCTTCCTAGGTTAGAGGTCATAGTGATGTGAGGAATATAACAACAAATGTCTGTAAGAATGCCTCAAGGTCTTTTGGGTCAATTGCCAAGCAATGTTGAAAACTCTGCTTTTATGATAATAAATAATAGGGAGCAATTTAACAAAAACAAGAGCAATTTTAAAAGCAATTTCCTGCAGGAAACCTGAACTCTCTACTGCATTTGGAGAGTTTGGTCCCCTGACCTTTTCCTTGTTTATGGCTCCTTCTGTCCTTTTCCATGAATCTTTATTTCATTTCCCTTTATTGTTTCCAACTTGCTGTCCTATTCCACTTCCTGCTGCAGGCTTTATCCTTTATCATCTGTCCTCTGTCTACTGTATACCAGTAGAGAATCTCTGGATATGAAAAGTAAGCATGAAATGCCAGCTACTCTTCAGAGAAAAGGGTGTTGGTCAGAGCTATTAATTCTAGGAAATCTTGCAGGATCCTAAAATACTTTCCTGGGTGTTTGGTTCTGAAAGATTTGGCCTGAAAACTTCTTGTCTCTTTCATGTTGCACAAAGGAACATCAGTAACTACTGAAAACTTAAACTTCCAATGAGGTCATGGATCAGCCAGCTGCATGGAGAATAAAGAAACTACCATAAGGACCTTTTTCTGTGCCATTGGAGATTCAGAAGACTACAAATGAGCAAGTTAATCTGTATTAGACATTTTAAAAAAAATACCCTTCTCTGTCTGTGAAGTCAGAAATTTTGTAGATGGTTCTCCACAGCATCTCTTGTACAGCAGTAGGCTTTTGTGAGGGTTACAAAGGAACGAATTATTTGTTGTAAACGTTGTCTACTGCTGTGGACAAACTTCTGTTTGACTTACGATGTGTTCACAGTCATTGAATGGCATCATTGGGCAGGAACCTCTGAGTTCTCTGGTCTAACCCACTACTCCAAGCAGGCTGAGCTAGAGCAGGTTGTTCAGTTGAGTTTTGATTATGTCCAAGAAAGGAGACCTTGCATCCTCTCTGGTCACCTGTATCATTTGTTGATCACCCAAATTATTAACAAGTTTTTCCAAATATCTAATAGGGGAATAACCCATGCTGCAGCTTGCCTTGTTCTATCTCATCCTTTCTCTGTGCAGCTCCAAGATGTCTTTAGCTCCATCTGCCATAAACCATAAAATTAGGCAGTTGAAGACAACCGTAATGTCTTCCCTGAGCCTTCTCTTCCTACAACTGAACAAACCCACTTCTTTCAGCTGCTCCTATTCTCAATTACAGGATTACTAAAAAAACCCAGGCAGCTGTGATCTCAGTTTCATCCAAACAAGCACACTTCCCCTTAACACCAAAGTTGTGTGAGTCTGTTCATAGTGGTGACTTTAGGACGTGGTGACTTTAGGACATGCTTCTTTCTGTTGTGCAGCATTATATTTGACTTGGGATTTCACTTTTGTCTTGAATGGTATTTCATTCAGACAAGTGGCTGAATGCCAGGCACTTTTACACTGCAGACTGTAGGTAGCTGGCTGTCTTGGTGGGTAAGAGTTATGCTCATGCCTCCTTCTCCATTTTTTAATTACCTATCGCAGAAATAAATGTAGAGACCTGAAGGCCAGCCTCACCTCCTACACTGGGGGCTGATGTCTCATCAGGAGACCGATGAGTGCAGAGAGGAAGCACTGTCAGGAGACGACTCAGTGGCTTGCTTTTTCCTCTGCCTACCTCCCCTTATACACTGGCAGCAACCTTTTCTTCTGCTCTCGGTGTCCCTGAGGCTGTACCTTCTCCTCTGCTGCTGTAAATCTCTTCATGTGGAAAGGAAAACAAAAATGCTGAAAAATGGACCATGTGTGCTTTACTACTCCCTTTATAACAGTAATCATTACGGTGGGAGACAGAATGTAGTGTGGGCTTGTTCTCTTCACCTCTGCTTCTGAGGAGATGGTGAAGAAAATGTAAGACCTCGGCTTTGCTCATTTCTGTCAAACCATTGCTACAGCCCTGAAGCCACTGTGGCATACAGCTTCCAGCATCCTTTCAGATGACAGTCTTCTCCAAACTGCCCAGGCTCTGCTTCCTGCTCGTGCAAGAAGAGGGGCTCAAGATTGTACAAAGGCATGCACATCCTCATTGTATGTCTGCAGGGAAACCAGACCAATTCACACTCAAAAGGACATGCACAAAAAGGCCACATAACTTGCCAACTGTTAATTGCACACCTGACTTTTAACCATAGCTACTTACGTATGGACTTTTCCACCTTCTCTCTAAGTGAGTGGATACAGCCTTTCTCTGTTTTGTCAGTACTCCTGTTCCAGATGTTGTTAAGGAGGAGGGGTTAGTGCATCAGTCGATGCAAAGGAGTGACCAGCAGCTCCGGCAGATGCAGCCTCTTGCACTGTTTGTTTTGTTCACCCCACTGCTGAAGACAAGCAAAACTTGCCTTAGGCCTCAGCTTGTTCCCTGACAGGGAGATATCAAATAGTTTTCTGCATCATCAGCTGGCTGTAATGAGACAGGCACTAATTAAAGGTGAACTTTTCAGAGCAAAGGCGGTGTGAAGGCTTTTTGCAGGTGGAATCACTTCGCTCTTGCAGATTGAGACTCTGCATTGCTGCTTCCCATTTCAGGTGCTGTGGCCATGCTAGCACATCAAGCAGTGCTCTTATTTATCTGCTATTTATATTTCATCAGGAAATCCTCAGTTATGTTTGATATATTTGGGGCCACCTTATGTTTTAGGGTGACCTGCTACTTCCCACTGGGGAACTTTTCCCTAGGTATGAGTGTATGAAATCTTAGTCAGGGAGCAAGTGATGTGGTACTCCTGGGCTGTAAAAGCTGCAGAGTTTGGCTGCTACAAAGAGGTGTTCTCCCAGTTTTGGGCTGCCTGAGATACAAGTCTGCTTCCTCAGGTTTCTCTTTCTAATCCTGTAGTGTTGCAGCTCAATCTGAACTATGTCCAGAACACACTGGTCTGCTAATGATAACACAGAAAGAGTAGAGCCTTATCTCCAGGAGTCCCACTGCTGCACTGGCTGGATTCGTCGCTCCAGGCAGATGTGGTGTTAACAGAACCACAGACAGAACCTGTTCTAGGCCTGTAACTTTGCAAAGACATCACTGATAGCTCTTTCCAGCCTTAGAGGGAAGTAAATTCTCACTTACTGGTAGTATTTTGATACCATGTTCTACATTTGCTTTATCTATGGTTAAGTAAAACCTGTCAGAGAAGCTAAAACACTGCAATTGCAGGGGGGTTACTTGCTCGTCTATTCAGGATGTTGCTTCCGCCCTGTGGGCACACAGGTCAGCAGATACCATGAGTGAAGAAAGCAGTCCAGCTTTCTTGCCAGGGCTCAATCAAAACACACCCCGCTCTCTCATCATGGGCTCCTACGACCCGTGAAAACACTGGCACGCTCCTGGATGTCTATTCCCCTTGTTTTGGCTTGTATCATATAGCCCTTCCCTTAAGCAAATGGGTGCTATCATACACTTCTCCAGTTCTGAGGTTTGTATACATCACTGCTGATGTGCCACGGCATGGACCCTTGGGGCTTTTTTGTACTGAGGGAATGTGAGTCCCAGCCTGCTAAAGCACATAATACCCTACATACCGTGATCCCACCCAACGTTTAAACCAAGCTGGTATGCAGGTCACGTGTCACACTAGAACACTTGAGAGAGATTTTACGGTGGGGCGTGTTTTTTGTTTCTGTCTTTTTTTTTTTTTTTTTTTTTTTTTTAACCATTGATTTTATTAAGGTTGAGGTCACCAGATCAGGGGATAATGCATGAAACATCTGAATGATAGAGGTTTAAGCAGCTGGTTTAGGGCATGTGATTGTGAGCAGTCATTCAACTTATGTAGCTGAAGGCCCCTTCTGGAATTCACTGTTAAGGGTATCCTATAAAAGAGCTCTCAAGCTAAGAAAAATTCTGGTTTGCTTCTAAAGTTATGTAAAATCTATTTTGGACTTACAGGTTCCTTTAACTTTCAGGAGCTGAAAATGGTCTCTTGGCAACAGGCCACAAGCAGCAAAGAGCTGGAGCACATCACAGCCAAGCCTTATGGTCTCCCTCCTGGAAGCTGGAGGGTAAGTAGCACATGAACACAGAACATTCAGTCTGTGGGGAAGACATCCTTCCACCCACACCAAGGGAAACCCTAGCTCAAGAGGGGTGGTTGTCATTTTGTTTTAGCTTGCTCCACTGGAGTGGCATAATAGAAAAGTCTTTGTGCTCATTTGTTTCTGAAAGGAGACTTGTTATTGTAGTTATTTTGACATTCTTACTGTTTCGCTGTAAGGACTGTGCAGTCAGAATTTTTTCTTCCCAAAACCTTTTGAAAGGATGCTGCTTCTGAGAATTATTCTCAAACTTGTGTTTACTTCAGAAATAACTGCCAAATGAGCTCTCTGCCATGTTCAAATGACTGTCTTTTGCTCTAGGCATATGAGCATCATTTGCACTGGTGAAATTTGACCCCCACTGATTCACCAAACATAGATGAAAGAAAGACTAATTATTCGACCCGATTTCCAAACATGAGCACTGAATCTGAATAGAAGCTTTTTGGATGATTTCTCTTCTCCTTTTATTGGGCCAGTTGGTTTCTGATATCTGTAAGCCTTTTATTTCTTTTTACTCACCTTGCTTAATTCCTCTAAGTTTGCAAGAAATCTCCACAAACCCACATCCAAGAGAATTTCATTACTCTGGAGGTATTTTAGAGTGTTCATAAATATCTTTAAGAACAAAACAAATCCATGCTATTTACTATTTGTGCCAATCCAATATATATATATACATCTTTCTGAAAAGAACATGGTTGCACTGTAATTCTCATGAAATGATTATTTGATCTGGGGAGGGTAGAAGATGACACTCTGAGAAACTTTTTCTGACCTGCCTGAAGGATAAATATTGGGCTTTGTGTGCGGAGGAGGGTATGAGTGATGTCTCTGGGGTGTTTCTGTGGCTGCCACAGAGGCAGCTATGTCCCTGCTGTGATTTCTGGAAGAAGAGGGGCAACTGAGCCCCCTGCAGATCTGTGTGAATGAATTAATAACATCAGAGCCATAGTTACAGATTTCTATGACCTTTCTAAATGCTTTTCTTCCTACCCCATGCATCTACTGTTATATAAGTTATTCAGAGTTACTATGGGAAAAAAAACAACTTTGGAATAGCATAAGTAGAGGGCTCATGAAGGTTTTTCATCTCTCTGGATTGCTTTATTAAACTATACTGAGTGAATACTGCATATGTATTTATTGGCTGTCTAAGAGTTTGTATTATTTAACCTCTGATGGTGATCTTGGAGCTGTGCTGAATCTGACCTAAATCTGAAAAAGGCTTAAAAACTTTAGAATTTTTTTATATAAGTGTGTAAAACATTAATGAAAAAACTTACCACTCAGGTGTCAAGACTGAAGAGCTAGTGAGAGTGTTTGCATAGTCCTGTGTAATTCTTCAGTTGCCATGAACAGTTGACCTTAGAGCTTAAAGGGCATTTACAGTGGTCTTAAAGTTCCCGGTGAAGATTCATTAAAATCAGTAGAATATTTCTATACTGGGAAGTACTTAAGAGTGGCAGGTATCTATAAAACTGGCTGCCCAAATTGAGTGGCTTTTTTTCTTTTGCAGGAGAGCTTGGGAAGCTGGCATGGACTGAACCATTCATGGGTTATGCAGGGCTGGCTAAGGCTTGTCTGTGGGCTCCTACATCAGACTCACCAAGGGAGCTCATGTGTCTTCTTTTATCCTCAACCTTCCCAGAACTCATCTATTTTAATTTTCTCAGGTTTCTGTATATAAGGGAGGATGTTTCCATCCTGCCTTGGACCAACAGCTGGTCCTGTCATACCTTTCCCTTTCCCCTCCTGTTCTGCCCCATCAAGGAGGAATTTAGCCCACTATTTATTCTCTTTACTTTGCATACTTCTTGTACTGCCTAGGCTAACTTTTCAACAACATGGAAAATGTTTCACTAATCTTTTTCCTTTGACTGATAAGAAAACAGAAATTTTCTGTGCAGAATAAGAGAAAAATGATAGAAAGATATTTAGGGCAGCTTTCATCCTTTTAAATGGGTACACTGACTTCTGATGTGCAATGAATGTAAATGGTGCAGCTATTCTTGTAACAGTGTGTAATATTCCTGTCCATATTTTAAAGCTCTTAAAATTCACCATGACAGATGCAATTTGGAGTTTTTGGGACAGGAGTTGTATTTTAGTTTGCTTTTTTTTTTGTAATATCAGAACTACATGTCTTCTGAATTTGGAGGTTTTCCTGCATGACTTGGGATAGCCTAACCACAGTTCTACATGAAGTTCAATAGTTAAATATCCAGCATAGTCAATTGGAGAGTGGATTCAGTTCAGTGTTAGTGTGGGGAGTAGTGGAATATCAGCTGAAAATACTGGAAGGATTTACAATCAGGTGGTGTTTACAAAGCACTAGGAAGTGATGTCCAGAAGAAGGGACACCGTGAAGAAGAGAAAAACCAAAGGGAACTGTGGGAATGGGATGAGCAGGTAATATGGGAGAAAGAACAGGTGCTCAAGTCATTACCCTCTAGACACCCAGTGAGAGGTTACGAGTGGCTTTAAGTTTGCCGTGCTGACAGCAGAGCAAATAACGCTTCATTATTTTTGAGAAATGAAAGATGAAGTTACCATCTTGAGAACTAGCAAATGATCCAGAAAGTAAGTGCATTCACTTGTGAAAAGCTCCCACACTGATGCTTTTTTCACTTCTAACTGGCTGTTGACATCTGTCTGCTCAGTCTGTTGTGCTTTTATAAATTCACACCAAGATTTACTCTACTGATTGAAGGAGAAGAAAGAAAACCACTGACTCTCACACCTACTGGGTCAGACTATATAAAAAGAACCTATCTTCGATTTGTCCACATATATAGCTTGACTGCCAGTCTGGTGACTCTTCTTCTGCAAGCATAAAGATTCCTTTAAAAAGATTAAAAGCCCTCCCTCACATTTTCCTCTAAAATATATGTATTATAAACACAATTAATTTGAAAGTAACACAGTATGGTAGTCTGTGCTTGTAGGATGCTGTATCAGAAAATAGCAGGCAGCTTGCAAATGCTAAGGAATTTAATTTGTCATACTGTTCCTGCTACTGGAAAGC